GCAACCAGCTCTGCCAGCCACCCCTCCAGTTTGCCCAGCAAGCACCTTTCCAGGCTAGGGCCCCAACTGCAGTGAGAGTTAGTCATGCTGTCTAGAGTGACGCTGCCTTCCCCAGGACACCGCAGCATTACTCGGAGGCACCTGCCTCGTCCTGCATCAGTGCTTCAGTGTTCAAAGGATATGCCGGGCAGGAGCTATGACCAACCGAGAGCGCTCAGACGGCTCCCAGTAGAGCCCAGTTTGGTCCAGGGCAGCTACTCCCAGTCCTGCCGTCCACAGCACCGTTTGCAGAGAGCCCCAACGCTGACAGAGCTACTTTCTCCACCACCAGGTCCATAACGATCAATCCACAGGATTAACGTAGCCAGCAGAGACTGCTGCAGGGGGGACGCAGGCTCTGCGCCAAAGCTGCAGGGAAACAGCGCCGGGCTCGCAGGCGTCACCTCCCCAGTCACGCAGCTCCGCAGCGGCCGATCTGCTGCGCGAGGAGAGAAGACGGCAGAGCTCGGTTAAAGCCAGCAGGTGCTTCACCTTGAAGAAAAGTCCCTTCCCAGATGGAAGATCCCGCCAGGACGTCCCCGCTTAATGCAACCTGCGGAGTAGCCCAGTGGGGGCCCCGCTGGGGAAGCCCCCACTCAAAACACGCGGTCGAATTCAGTCTGGTTGGTGGCCGCCGGGTTCCTGCCCTGGTTTGCTGGCTGCTGGGGCATGTGCCCACCCCTCCTGCGTGGTGGGGCCAGGTACTCGAACATGGACTGGTTGTGGGTAGACAGCATGTTTTTGAGGTCTGAAGGCATGGGGTCCGACCAGAAGAAGTCGTGGTTCAGTGCGTCGTCGCTGTCGATCCGCTGGGCGGGATCCAGCACCAGCAGCTTGTCGATGAGATCGAGCGCGTAGGGGTCCTTAACGTAGGCTTTCAGGCGGTCCTTCACCTTGCGCTTCTGGCCCTTGGGGAGCTCCAGCTTCTGGTACAGCTCGTATTTATCCACGTTCGGCCAAACCTGGGAAAGGGCAGGAAGAGACGGTTAGGAAGAAACAGTTATGGGGAGAATGAGCCATTTTTGATGCTAACAGCCTCAGGCAAACCAAGGCAAGGTCTGCCAAGAGAACAATAGGATTTTATAACCTCCAAGACGTCAGACCTTGTTCCCACAGCACGAAGGCGGCACTAAAGCGTGCCCGAAAGCCTGGAGAGATGTGGACAAGTCAGGACAGAGTGCTCCTGGTGTGGGAACAGCATGCAGGATGCTCCAGAATGTCTGGTTCTCCCTCAGAAGAGCTACTAGAGAGTGCGGCTCAGGCTGCCCTTAAATAAGGGGGCTGAGAAGGGGCCGAGCGCTCACACCAGGGCCGCGCTGATGCCACATATCACAAGCTGGAATTAAAGAGGCTTCTCAAGGGGACCAGTGCCAAGCACCTGAGACAAACCCCTCAACACAAAGCAAAAACCACTTCTTTAAGCAGAAATCTGAGAGACAACCCCCAAACACAGGCCAGAAAAGATTCCTACACGTAATGTTCTGTTCTCTTACACTCAGAGCAGCCAGCATCCCCTCCGTGCTCAAAAACAAGGACACGACTCACCCTCCCACGGGAGGTCTGGGAGGCAGAGTTCGCCCTCTTCTCCCTGGGAGGCTGAGCACAAGTAACGTGACAGCTGTAGCTTACACAGAGCAGCAAGGGAAGCGCAGCGTCCCACTGCGCACTCAGCTCCCAGGGGGCAAGCAGCATTTTCAGGAGCTTCCCCAGCCTCCCCGCGCACTCAGCTCCCAGGGGGCAAGCAGCATTTTCAGGAGCTTTCCCAGCCTCCCCGCCAGCAGTGGGCACACTCCAGTGCCAGGAGCACGCAGCAGCCAGTGCACAGGGCAGGGAAGAGGCCCGGGAGTGCCTGGTCCCAGACCCTGCCCACACCGCCGCATCTCTCCTCCTGCCTTCCGCAGCTCGCCTGTGCTCTCGCCCTCACCTCCGGCGTGATGGATCCGCAGAGCTGGCTAATGAGGGCGAGCTGGTGCTGCTCCGTGTTCCCCTGCATGATGGGGCTGCGGGTCCACATCTCCGCCATGATGCAGCCTCCGCCCCAGAGGTCAATGGGGGGACCGTAGTCCCGCTCCCCTAAACGGAGATGCCGTGTTAGCCACCTGGGGGAACGAGCAGGGCAGAGAAGCCAGCAGAGCCCATCACCTCCTACCTAGGAGCAGCTCTGGTGGCCGATACCACAGAGTCACCACCCGGTTGGTGTAGCGGTTCGGCTGGCTGTTCTTAGCCAGGCTGACAGCTCGAGCCAGCCCAAAATCCGCAAGCTTCAGGACTCCATCCCGCGTGATCAGGACGTTCGCAGCTTTCATGTCTCGATGCAAAATCTGTACGAGGACAGAGATTGAAAGGTTAAGCCACTGAGGTACCCTCCTTGGGCGCCTGGTGCCGGCAGGGCACTCAGACTCCAGAGGGGGAGGACAAGGATTTCCCTCCAGCCTGCGCTAACACACCCGCTCTGAGCAAGGCCACAGAGACCAGGGTGACCTCGGAGCGCAGCACGGATCTGGCCTGTTACCTTGTTCCTGTGGATGTAGTAAAGTCCATTCAACAGCATCTGCATAACTTTCTTGATCTCCGAGAGCGTGAACTTGACGTGGGCGTTGCTGAGCAGGCCAGCCAGGTCGTGCTCGCAGAAGTCAAACACAAGGTAGATGCTGCCCTTGCAGCGGTTGTACGGAGAGGCTACAGGAGAGGCAAGGAGGGGCTGTCAGCAAGGGACCTTCAGCCCCGCCACAGCTGCTCCCGACCTCCAGCCACCCTGCTGCTCCTACAACGCTCACTAGACAAAACCTCAGGGCACGGGAACACAGAGAACCAGAGACACCCCGCAGGCCTCAAGATCCTTCATAAAGAGGCACTAAGACAGCACCACCAGCAACGGATGAACAGGGATGAAGATCGGAGTACTGAATGTCATCACACAGGCAAGGAAAGGGCATGAAAATCTTTGAAAGCCTCATTTCGTGTTGTTCTGTGCACATAACGGCTGTGGGGTTTCCTCCCTGCGAGCTGCGGCCGGTAGACGCACACACCACTGGCTGCCAGCCGAGCACCACCACTGATTGCATCAGCGATAGGGGAGGCACCGGCAAAGGCAGCCCCAGGGAAAATGCAGACACAGGGAAAATCTGTCTAATATAACATTAGAAAGTGAGGTTTTCTGCAGCCTCAAAGAGCAGCTACGAAAACAGACTGATCTGGATGAAAGTGATTTAAAACTCCAACTCCAATTACAATTTAAAGTCAACAACAGAAAACCTCACACAAAGCAATCGATTTCAATCTTGTTCCTAGAGCACGCATGCAAAACATTATTAAAAAGAAACACTGATTTTTATCAGCTGTAATTGGCAAAACCTGCTGATCAGCAACTCCAACCGGAACATGACAGCTAAGCTCAGCCCCCATGGAAACACCACTCTCTGCCAGCCGCGAGCACGCCTGCTAGACTGGGCTTGCAGTTCCTTACACGGACACGGCCCCTACCGCACCCTTCCAACGTAAAAAGAGAAAAGCTTGAAGTTTTAGAATAGCAAATGCAACATTTCTACTTCACTGCAAACTGAGGTCAAGGTGGATTCAGACGAAAACTGGAGTTCAAGCAAAACCCAAACAATTGATATGTCTACAAAAATATTTACCTTGCGTATGCCAGACACGCAATCATCACAACTCATTTAATCACACAATGCATTAAAAATTAACTTGTTGCCAGTGTTTCTACTCATATCTGTTCAGACAACAATCTACATGCAGTGGAGTACTGGAGTAACTTCAAATTCCCAGTCCTAGGCCGGGGATTCCTATCAGTTCAGTGACCGGACTTTTTTAAAAACACCATCACCAGACACACGCCACTTTTGTTTTTATTTAACTGGAACCAGTGACTAAGTAATGGCAGGCTTTAGCATCAGCTGTCATTTTCAGAACTGTTTTTTCCAGTACAAATCCATATGAGTGAATGATATACACAAACTGACAAACGTTTTAAAGCCATTCCACTGGAAACGGTGCCAGGCCAGGTGCGCTGCGCCCGCCCGTCACGCAGCAGAGCCACTGCGCAAGGCAGAAGCACGGCTCCAAACTGCCCCGTGCCGCGTCCCAGCCCGCACAGCGCGAGGGTTGCTGCCACCCACAGAACGGGACGCCGAGCCAGTCTCCAGCTGGAGCTGTGTCACCGGCTCTGAGCCGCCACGAACCATCATCAGCCAACTGAGGGGGACGGCTCCGCTCCTGACAGGGAACTGGCTGTGCACAGCCACGGGATCAGCGCCGGGCTGAGAACCCCCTGCTTCAAAGTCTCCCGGCATTGGTTTATTTAAAGCCTCTCAGAGAGTTTTCCAGCACGGGCAGGACCCACCACCACGGCACAGACATATTCTAGCAGGACTGACAACAACTTTTTCCAGCCAGGCTGCAGCAACAGCCTAACTCGTTTAGAAACTGTGTACCGACACCCCACATCACAGGCAGGAACAGAGCCCCGTGCTCAGCTAGAGGACCCCACCCCCAGCACAAAACACCAGCCTTCTCAGCTGCCAAGGAGGGCACACAGAAAAAGACAGCCGGTGTGAGAGAGAGCCCCGCAAGCTACCTTTGGTCCTGCAGATTTCAATGAGGTTCACCACGTTCTCGTGTTTGAGCAGCTGGAGGATTTTAATCTCTCGCAAGGCTGTGATGGGGAACTGGAAAGGAGAAAGAGAGGGTGGCTATTAGGAGCGCAGGAGACCAGGCCACCTCCGCCTAGAGAGCGGGAGAGATGTGACCACAGCAGCTTGGCAGGAGACCTGCTCGAGCAGCAGCATGACAAGTCACTGAAGGGCAATCAGAGCTTTAAAACAGAACATGAACTCCAGGACTGCCAAAGCGTATTCACCATGAGGCCACCATTGCTGAGAGAGATTCTGGCACGAGACAGAGGTGTTCAGGTGGTGCCAAGATGGGCACGCAGACACGCTTCCCTCCCTCTTCTCCACACCTTGCATGTTCGTAACAGGACATGGTAGAGCCCGGCTCGAGCTGCAGAGCAGAGCTGCTCGTGCCATTTGAGCTGTTAACTCTCTGCCCAGCCTGCCCCATCTCTGCACACCCCTGAGCACGGGCCTTCCACGCGCTACCCAGTTCTTCCACAAACGACAGCCAGTGTGGAGCCCTGCGCCGGGGGGGACAGGGCTTTGCACAGGAGCAGGAACACGTGGGCAGTGTTACCTCCCAGCAGCCGTCCTGCGCAGCTCGGTCACCACACAGCTACAGCACCACGCTGCTGCCGTGGGCCTTTGCAGCCGAGAAGGTGATAACAGGCGTTGGCAGGGCAACCACAACACCCAACGTTATCACAGTATCAGTAGGAGAGGAGAAAGGCCACAGGGCTGGGATCCTGTCCACACCCTTACAGGTTCAAGATGTAGCACATTATAGCAGTAAATATCGTTAAAGAACAGAGTAAAAGTGCATCTCTGCTGTCCCAAAGATCAGCTTTCACCTACGAACACCCCAGTCCAGGCCGTCCCAAACACAGCCCAGCCATGCTCGCACACTTACCCCCTCTTTCTCATTTTCCATCAACACTTTCTTCAGCGCTACTTTCTTGCCCGTCTGACGATGCTTGGCTTTGAAAACCTCCCTGCAAAAACAGAAAGAAACCCCTTAGCAGCACAAGGAAGCAGGGGAGGGGCCAGACGCTCCTGACCAGGGACAGGAGCACAGCAGACACGCCGGAGAGCCGTACGGGCAGCTCTGTGCTGGACAAAAGGCCCTCAGCAACCCAGAGCCCTGAGCTCCCGCAGCTTGCCCGTCTGACGATGCTTGGCTTTGAAAACCTCCCTGCAAAAACAGAAAGAAACCCCTTAGCAGCACAAGGAAGCAGGGGAGGGGCCAGACGCTCCTGACCAGGGACAGGAGCACAGCAGACACGCCGGAGAGCCGTACGGGCAGCTCTGTGCTGGACAAAAGGCCCTCAGCAACCCAGAGCCCTGAGCTCCCGCAGCCCCATGAGGATTTGGGGCAAAGTTACACGTTCTGGGCAAAGCTGCAGGGCCCCGCCTCGACCGTCTCCAGGGTAACACTCCTCTGCCAGAGCCTGGGCCAAAGCGTGCGCAGCCTCTC